GCCCATTGCTTTTCTTCACTTTATTGCCTTTGTGGCTAATCTCATACTGTGATTATTCCTTCTTTTGTGCATCCTAAGTGGATGAACAAGAAGCAACCATAAGTGTGAAGTGGTTGAGGGATTTTGGGTCTATTTCATTGTGGTGTTGATTGATTGGATAAATTGAGCTCGGGAAAAGCCTTGAGGATCTTCTCTATTGCATAACAGTAACCATTGAGATATAATAAATCATAGTTAAGGCCTACCTTAGGAACAAATACGCTGCCTGTTGTGTTCTGTGCAATGCTTTCAATAAGCAGAGATATGATGTTAGGAGGAAGCAGGGACTTATTATCTGGGGGATCGATTTTGTTTCCGCAAGAATATGCCTTGACCACAGTCATCTACAAAAAAATTGTTAAAATCATCACAATAGGAAAAAAATTGTATATCACTGCTGATTATTACTTCAATCATAACAATTGACTCTAGAAGCATTCGGGTAGCCCTCTAAAAGCTACGTTGAAGCAAAATAAAAAAACTAATAACCTACCTGATTCATAGTTAGAGTCCCAGTTTTATCGCTGCAAATGGTAGTTGCTGATCCCATGGTTTCACAGGCAGATAGCCTCCGCACCTAGATCTCAATTTGGTCAATTTTGAATAACAAAAAATATTAGATGCTCTAAGGAACAAGCCAAATGATTAACTATGGATCTATTAAGTATGCATACCAAGGCCTTGTCTGCCATCATTTTCCTCATGGAATATGCAAGCCTATAACACAAATATTAAGGAAATTGGCAATGTGATAATTTCAGCTAAAAAAAACTAGTACCATATATCCAGTAAATTTGTTGTCTAGACCTTAGATATAACAAAAATAACATAACACATGACTCAAAAGATGGATATCATCAACAGAACTTACGTCAAAGTAACAGCCAAAGGAAGCCCTTCTGGTACTGCAACAACTACAATGGTCACCTAGAATTTTTTTTCCAAGTCATTCAATAATTCTAAGATGAACAAAATCAAAACATTATTTGAATAGGGACATACTGCAATAGTGAATATTTTTATGAATCCATCTATCGCTTCACCAACTTTAGTCTGGCATGCTTTAAATTGGACAGTACCATCTGGATTTTTGGTATGTCCAGTAAAAAATCTGCATAATAACAAAGTTGATTTTTAATCATGCTATTTTTATTAGGCAAAACAAGGCTAAATCTGAAGTTACCTGGCCACAAGAACAATCAGAACGGCTATAGCAACTGCTAGCCCAACTATCCCAATAAGGGTGGTAACCCCATTTAAGCGCACCTAAACTTAGAAAAATACAACAATGTTAACAATGTACCCAGCCATATGAATTCCATGTAAAAGTCCAGGAATTTTAACAAATTTAACCTGTAATGGTGTTTCTTCACCATTATCCTCAGATATACTTGACATAAGTAGTCCCCATTCAGTATTTATTCCCACACCTGTTACCTGTGAAATTTTTTTATATTTTAACATACTGTAAGATGCTACAAAATAGTTTGTAGAAATTTCCATTGGTCACTTTGGAAGTACAATCACGCGTGATAAGTATAACCAATGGACCACAAACTCCTGTGATCGTATGAAAAAGTTAAAAGAGCGGAGCTCAAAAAGGAAAGGCAACCATGCTAAACTCTATAGTTGGAACTTGGAAGTAATATATTTGTTGAAACATAAAAATGAACAAGTTAAAAGCCGTATTTGCAATCTCGAAGTAAATTATAATGCATCAAATAAGTAACCATATATAAATAGCAACAAAGGTTTAGAAATAATGTAAAGAAATGCCACCTCCGTAAACAGTTTGAAACACATTAAAGCAAGGGTACATCAGAAACATAGGCATTTCTAATGACGACATCTTTTTTCTTTCTTTTTATCTTCAACCAACATAGACTAAGAAACTCATATTGCAAGTCACTTCTCTACTCCATTTCACACAATTAATAATTGAGCACCGCTTCCAACTTGAACATATTTGGACTTTCAAGTTATTTATCGGAAGAGGCTCTCTAGTATTTTATACGTGATAGAATCAGCAATTTGAAAACCTATGTCGACTCCTATAAATATATATTATGAAAATCCTATACATGCACACAATATAAAGAGCTTAGAAAATATAACATCTGTGAAGGCCCCATGTAGAGATGAGCAATAAATAAAATCAATGTCCCATCATCCAGGGTGCCAAAAATTTGTATGTTTAGTTCTTATGTTATCACATTTAGGACTTTGGAGATCCTTGGACTTAAAAAATAGAAATTGTACTCTATTCCATGCACATATATCGCCTATTTTTCAGATTAATTTAAGATACAATGAAGCAAAAATTGATGAAAGATTCCCTAGGAATATTACCAGCATGGTGCCATAACCATCAGCAACCTTGCATCCAGACATCAAAAATGGAGCTTTTGAATCCTTGTGAACCTGCTTAAAGCAAAAATGAGTTCTGTAAAAGAACATGGTCATGATATCTACCTCGAATATAGCAGTCAATCTATTGAATCTTACAATTTTGCTCTCCCCTGTCATTCTTGATTCATCAATTGAAAGGGAGTGGCTAGATACTACAATTCCATCAGCAGGAACCTGTTAAAAATGAGATAACTTGATAATAAGTGGATAAATAATGAAAGATTTGAACACAAACCCGTAGTCCAACCTACTCGGCCGCTTCCCTTCAAAACTTGTTTGGCTTCTTTTAGATATGTGAGCGATGGAGAGAGATCTTGAAATTTACCTGATCACCAATTTTGAGAGGCACAACATCACCAATAGCTATGTCAAATATTGAGATATTAACTCTCCTCCCACCTCTAATGACCTGTAAGGAATTACCTGAAAATATAAGGAGGAAAGCCAAAAGGAGGAAAATCAATGCAAAGAATATAATTGTTAAACTACATAACGCCTACCTCCATGTGTATATTTTGCTTCTCTTCGTTTAAATTTTGAAACTGGAGGGATTGTCCGTAATCACTAACAGCTACAAAACGATGAAAATAAGACACTTGCTGCAATACTTAAAGTTTTCGCTGAAAAAGTCAGTATGCATTATATTAACATGAGAAATCACATAACATAAATTTCAACAAATAATAATACTAATAATCTCCGATTAATGCAACTGAGGTAACCATCTATTTCAAGCACGTAACGTGCATTTTGAGGAATCCTTCAAACCATAAATAGTTTCAAATTCAAAATGCATGAACATACTTTTCAAACAACTAAAAAACTATTCCAGGAAAACTTATTCCA